ACACAATCAGGTTAAGACATTTGAAAGTACAATATATTCATTTACTGAATAGACTGAAAAAGGAGTTACCTGCTTATGAAATGCAGTCTTAGCTCAGTAGTTCTAATTGCAGAAGCCATCCCACTCAGACTCCAAGCTTGGTTATTTAATTTTTGAAAATTACTTTGATTTAAATTTTCCTGCAGTTTTCAAGAGCTTTCACTGAAAGGTGTAATCCTAACAAATTTTGAGGCAAGTAACTGAACAACCTCAAATCTTTCTTGGTTTAGCTCACAAAAAAATATGTTTGAAAAAAAATCTTTTCCTGCAGTAAAAATCAACAGTTATGTTGGAATCACTTTCTGCAGACACCTCTGTAGCTTTTAAGTGCAAATGTTGTGGAAAGTTTTGAACATTTCCTTTTCTGATTATCTACGAATTTTCCTTCCTAATGCTGATGGCATTTCATCTTACTTTTTTTTTGTGACTCTGCTTCTGTGTGTGAATTGTAAGTCCCCAAATAAGCTAGTTCTGCTCTCTGTTCATAGATCCATGTCTATTATGTTCTTCCACACTGTAATGGTACCATGAATCCTCTCTGACGAACTTGTAAAATGAATGCTGAATTCTGCTTTAATCAGCTTTTCAGACATTTGTCACGGAGCCATCCCCCTTATTCATAAACTGAATATGAAAAAAGCAGGCTGAAAGCCTTAACAATTGCACTCGGCCTTTTCTTTCTTTTGTCACCAATGCAGTAGATGTTGGTGTCTCCTAGACAACAGCATCTAAAAAGGCTTTCTAATTTCAATCTCTCATGGCTTTTCTTTCAGATCATTGGTGTCTGCTTGTTCAGGCAACCAGTAATCAACATTTGTCCAGATTTTTCTTTTTCTTAATAGCAGACACATTAGGGCTTTGCTGACTTGTTCCAAACAATCTGGCATATATTCAAGAATGATACAGAAAAAGAAGCTAATTATTCATAGTATAATTCTTACCCGTTCTTCTTTTAATAAATTGTGTTTATCATGCTGTGTACTGCTCCATTTTGAATTTTCCAGTACATGAAAAAAACATTTTGGGCCTCTTTGGATTTTACATATAGGTCATCTTGAAAACTTATTATGTAGAGAGATCTTGTAACACCTTTGAGACTAACTGAAAGGAAGAAGTTGGCAGCATGAGCTTTCACAGACTTCAGTCTACTTCCTCAGATGCTTTTTTTTTTCTTACAGTGAGAAGTGCATGAAATTCAGTGGGACTTTGCACTTAATCTTAGGCTGTGCATAGCATCACAGCAGTATTCATTAAAATCTTCCCTTGTATCAAATTCCCAGCCTCCTTTCTTTGTAGAGATTCAGTGAGGAAAGATGAATTTAGATATCTCCTGATGATATGGCATCTTAAAGCAAGGCGCAGCAGTTCCCTATTTCAAGCATTTACTTTGAGAATAATTCCACTCTTGGATGCTGTGGAGCAGCCAGCCATCTTTGCTGACATCACCACATGAAAGGAAATAGTAGTCTCAATAATGGTCTTGTTTCCAATCAGATGTACACTGCTGCTTTCAATGTGCCACTTTCACACTAGCACATCCAGTGTCCTTACATTGTAAAATGCTGTTTTTTCTGGAATTCTAACAGTGCATTATTTGGTGACCTATGTCTTATTTGGTGGCCTATGTCTTTTCTATAGAGGTTTATTCACTGTTACTGTATTATTATTTGTCAAATGTGGTGAAATTTATGGTTTCTATTCCTCTCCTATCTGGTTTCAGTCTTTAATTTTTCCCCTCAAATAGGAAAAAGTAGGTTAGATGAAAGAAATTATTGTAATTTATTCATTGCAAGTAATTGTAATCCAGATCCTAATGGTACTTGTGTAGTTAGGATGTGGAAAGGCCATTAAAACAGGAAATGTCTTTCCCCCCCCTTAGTTTCCTTAATAAATAGGGCTGGAGGTATGCTAGATTGTCAGGGCTAGTCCAGTAGTCAGTAGTCAGAGAAGTGGCAGAAGCTACAACTAATGGGAAGGCAGAACCAGAAGTCACCCTTAATTTGAGGGGAAAGTCTTCCTTTGACCTGAAAGGTTAAGGAAGGGGTCAGCAACCTATGGCCCGGGGGCTGGATCCAGCCCCCCGAGGCCTTTAGACCGGCCCCAGCCTGGTCCTCCTGCTGCTGCTGCCGCCGCTGCTGCTGTGCCCTGCCCCCCCACCGTGCATGAATCGTGGCCACCATTTTGTTTTCCAAAATGGCGCTGTGACTCATTTCTGCATGTGCTGGAGTACTGCGCATGCGCGAATGAGTCACGGCGACATTTTGGAAAACAAAATGGTGGCCGCGACTCGCGCATGCACAGTATGCTGGAAGTAATGCGCATGCATAAGCGAGCATGCGCACGGGGTGCCATTTCCCCTCCCCTCGGCCCGCGGAAGACCTCGGGACCAGCGGACCGGCCCCCAGTAAGCAAAAATTGCCTACCCCTGGGTTAAGGCCTTCCCAAATGTAGTGGAAGTATCCCATGATGAGTATTCCATGATTAAAATACTTTCTCAACTCTCAAAAATAACTTGAGAGTTTTGGACCTGTAATATGGTCCATGGTCAACATGTTCCTCACTTCAGATATACAGTCGCCCCTATGTTTTCACGGACTTGTAGTCTACGTCCCTTGCCCATTTACGGGTGGCAAACGTGGGGGGGGGGCAAAATGGGGTGTGGGCACATGCTGCCATTCAAGCCAGTGGGGCTTGAATATTGGCAGTTTTCCATTTCGGGGGGGGGGGGAGGTCCAGAACAGATCCCCACAAAAACGTAAGGGCAATTGAATAGCCATCTTACCTGCTTTTTCCTCTAAGGTAGTTAAAAGGTAGACATGGCTCTTCTACCTTTTAAATATTGCATGGGAGAGGAAATTATGGTCAATGCATCAATTTAAGCAGAATTTGGAAACATTTAATCTTCTGGAATTCCATCTTCTACACAAATTTGATACCTAAGAACTTTATCTTTACCCACGTTTTAACAGATAAGATTTATTGATCAAAGAAACACTAGAAGAGTGTATTTCTCTGTATTGAAACTCATGTTTTAAAATCACTGTTATATTTATATTTTGAATACATTGTTACATGTACGTGTGACTGAGGCACAGTAAGTTCCGAAGTTTCCTAAACTGAACAAGGCTATTGACAACTCTATTAAGAAAGGAAAAACAGAGATAGTGGCTCCCTTGTGGTTCTTGGCTACCAGCTAAAGATACATATTTTGATAATGCAGATATCAAGTGTAGGCTTCAAAGCTGACACATTGTGTGACAACTCTGAATACTTGGACTTGACAGGATCCTCTTATTTTACCTTTGGATTGTTATCTGTAATAAGTATAAACTTATGTGTACCATTGGGCCCTTTCATAAGTTGTCATTGGTGTCTAGAGCTTATATTAGATTTGCAGCTTCTGTGAATTGGGTAGAGAGGAACTACATTAACTGTGAAATGTGGAAAATTATCTTCAAGGTTGCTCCCACTACTCTCTGCCCACTTAAAATCTGTCCTGATGGGTTGAAAGACTTTCCAGAATAGTGTGTGATATAGCACGGCAGGGGTGAGAGGAGTCAGCAAACATCACTGTTACATCCCCCCCTTTTCAGCTTCCACTAGATCCTGGTTTCATCTGGCAATGGAAGGAGTGCTTCCATTCACTAAGTTGTACCCAGTATGATGATTCTCTGATTGCATGTATCCAATTTTACAGAATATATATTGTTTCTAAATGTTTATGAGAATCCCACTAATGAAGAACGTATATCTTCTGATTCCACAGTCCATTAATATAAACATAGTGGGCATCTTCTAAGTAATGCAGAATTAGGACAACAAGCTACTTAAACTTTTTAAAAGATGTAAGGTGTATTGAATACCAACAGCCTGAAAAATTTGGCATTTTCCACATGCTAATGTTGCTTTGCTCTGTGGTGAAATATTATTCTGAAATCTGTTTGTGCTCATTTAATTTATCTGTACCATGGTATACTGATCATTAATATCTGAAAATGTCACTCTTCTTTCTTGAAGTATCAGGACTCCAGCTGACATTCAGTTTTGCATGTAGATGAAAGCAATGGGTGCCTTTGCCTTTGAAAAGCTTTTTTTTATTAAAATGTGTTAATGAAGCTTTAGGACTCTCAACAATGGATAAAATAATCCATCATATTTGTGGGTGTGAATATCTCTTGACTATCTCTTGTATTTCATAAGTCTTGACTGCCTTTTTTTTAAAGAAAAAAAATTGTAAGGATTGCTAAAGCTTTTATCAGTTAGGCTCTGTAGCCTGTATCAACTGTGGGAACAACAATGATGAAATTGCATGTGCATAGACATAACATGAGTAAGAAACGTAATTGCTTTGAAGATAAAAAGTAGGTGAAACAGCAATGAATGCTTTTTGCCCATAGTGATACTGTAGTTCAATCTAGTAGAATTTTACAGTCATCACTTCACTTTCATAACTTCCTGATTGACTTAGCATGCTTTTGTTTCTTTTGGTATCCCTGTTGAAGATATACAGTTGTCCCTTCCGATTCATGGGGGATCCATTCCAGAGCCCCCTGCGAATTGGGAAAATCACAAATATCCAAGCCCCATTGATTTCAGTGGCGGTGCACACCAGCCCATGCACCATTTTGTCCCTTTTCACTTGCGGTCTGACTCCATGGACTCCAAGTCCGCAAATGGGGAGGGACAATTATATTCACTACAATCTAGCAACTCCTTCCAAACATAAAAGTTCCAGTGGCATACACATTGGATTCTCACTCTAGAAGAGTTGTTCATGTGCAGCTGTTTCCTTCCAAGTGTAAACAAATAGATTCAAGTGTTCTAGAATGCACAAGGAGTTCTGGATTGAGAGCAATGAGTTGATTCTATATCTTACATATATATCTGAGGTAACTGTGGTGTCAGAATTACAGTTTCAAATTTCAGTGGATTTTTTTTTCAGATCCCAAAGTGATCTGAGAAGAGCTACAGCTCAGTGGTAGAACATATGCTTTGAGCACATATGACCCCAAGTTTGATCCATGGTGTTTCCAGTTAGAAGAGATTAGGTAGCAAGTGATAACAAAGGCCTCTCTGCCTGCTAATCTAGAGAATACTGTCAGTCACAATAGACAAACACTAGGCTAGATGGACAGACTGATTTGTAACGGTCACCTTTCTATAGTGAAAAACACCAACAAGGCTATTTAATTTGTACTGTATGAAAAGGTATATTGTAGTACAGTTGCCCCTCCATTTTCACAAATAATCTGTTATGGAATTACCACCCCTGCACAAACATGGAAATCTGCAAATATTCAAGCCCTGCAGACTTGAATGGGGTGCATGCCTATGGGCGTGCACCACAGGCACATGCCCCATTTTATCTGTTTGCTTCCTGCAAACGGGTGAGAGATGTGGACTTCAAGTCTGCGAAAATGGAGGGACAACTGTATCTTCATTATCACATACATGGAGTGAAGTGCTTATGGATCTGAAGAAGTACTGTATATATTTTCATAGGGGCTCAGTGGTGTCTACATGACTACAAGTCAACCTGGAGTAAAGGACAGTTTGGGGGCCAAAATTATGGATTTTACCATGACCTGTGGATAAATTGAGAATTAAAAACATAGGGGCACATAAAAAGCAAATCTTTTACTCTTCTGAAAAATGCATAGAGGAAATATTAGGAAGAGCTAAAGAGATAGAGAGGATTTAATTATTTGAGAAGTTAAAATGGCTTATGTGCAAATGGCATTGCTGA